TCGAGTTCTCGGCGCGGAAACAAAGCGATCCGCTGCCGATTAATATCGAGCTGTTATCGAGCGAGGCATTAATTCGACTCTGACTCTCTCGGAGCTTACGTGACGTGCCGAAATGTGACGGAAATAAATTAATGAGCGCGACGGAAGAACAGGGAGTTGATCTAGAATTTATGTTTTAATGCAAGGTTGAATCGATTTAATTAACGTCAATTAATTAAAAATGGATTTTTAACGGCAACCTTTACGTTGTAATCACACAGCAAGATACGTTTTTGTTTATTACACATGTGCGTTTCAGAAAAGCTAATTGTCATTTCAGCACAAATTAATATTATTTTCAAGGAAGCCTATTGTTCTGAAGAAATATTGCCATCATTGAATAGGCAAGCGAGGAATATAATAATTATTATTGTTTCAAAAAAATTTATTTAATTCAAAATCATTTTATTAAGGTTGATTAATCTCCAAAACGTATTAAACTAAATATTATTCTCGCGTGTCTTTTGTACCAAAAAATGTGCATAAAAATATATATTGTATTTTTTAAATACGTGTAAAATAATTGTTGGAGAAATCGAAAAAATTGAAATTTTCAATCCCAAAAGCGTATTAAATTAATCCAGAGTAATTTAACGTAATTTGTTAATTGATTAATTAAAATTATATTTTAATTCACAGCTTTATAAGAACAGTAAAATATGTATTAAATATACATTCTGAAATATATATTTATTATTATTTATTTTTTCAAATATGCATCTTTTTTTTGTCATAAAATAATCTATTTTAAGGAAAATATCTCATAAAGTAGACAATTATATATTTAAAATATGTTTGAAAATAAAATTGTTCACTGAACTGAAATTTTAAATCTGTAATTTTCCTTATCCTTATTATCGTCATTCCTCGGAGAATAATAAGACGTCTCGTAACCATACATTAATAAATAATAATTAATTGATAAAAAAAAATATATATATAAATTTTTGTACAATTAAATAATAATCAATTTATTATAAATTTTCTATTACAAATTTTCTAAAAATTTGAGAACATGTTTGCCATATTAAAAAGATATTCAAATAGATATTAGTCGATAAAGTATTTTATCTATTTTATTTATTTTAACATAATAGACTAAAAATTGAAAGTACGTACTATCGAGCTTAATATAAGTTAACGTCCGCACGTTCGCATACATGCATGCATGCATGCCCGCATTTTCACATATACGCATGTATGTACACCCGACGCGCGCCTGCGTATCTACACATACAAACATGCATATCTGCCTATATGCATTCATGCACATACGCACATCTTTTAATCTATATATATATATATATATATATATATATATATAAATTAAAATTTGTTGCACATGTAGACATATGTATGTGCATGTTTATATATGATTTGTATAGATACGCGTGTGAGCATGAATTCGGGCGTGTGAATGTGTGTGTGTGTATATGAATATGTAGGCATGCGTTAGTGTACATACGTGCGTATATGTGAACTTATGACGTGCATGCATGTATGTATGCAAATATGTGGACATGTATACATGTGAGTATGCGCACATATGGGCATGTATGCATGCGTGTGTGTGAATGTGTGGACGTGTATGCATGCGTAAATGCGAACGTATGGCTGTATGAACATATAGGCATGCAAGTGTATGAGTGCACGAATATATGTCTTGCTGTATAAAGTTAATATTATAATTGCTTACAAATGTTTGTTACGCTAAACCGAGTTATATTAAAATTTTCAATATTGAAAGATTTAAAAAGAAGTAGAAATAATAAATAAAATTAATAAAATATTATGAAAGTTATAGTACGAAGAATGACAGAATTTGAAATTTATTTGTACAAATGTGCAAATGGACATGTGTATACTATTACTTACATAGTTGAATCGTACATTTGGATTGCCTCAATCTCTTCATTCTTTGAAATTAAGTCCATTGGATTTATATTGTTCAACTCTTCAATTTGTTCTTCGGTTATCATGTTTTCGGCTCTTTGTTTTTTTCGAAGTTTGTAAAATATGATATATATATATATATAATTTATATAATATATTTATACGTTTTAAATATATTTAATTAATTTTTTTAATATTTAATGAATTTCTGATTTTGCTTTTTTTTTTATTTCTTTGAATAGCGTTTAATTTGTAAAAAACAAATAAATTATGTTATTTACGTTCACATGGAAATAAGTAATTACCTTCATAGAAAAGAAAGTACACTTAGAATATAGTCAAATGCGTTTACTAATAATTTGACCATCATTGAATTTGACT